TTATTGTTACCATCAGACACAGAGTTTACAAATTAATCCCGCCGCTACTAAACCTAGTCGATGATGTCCAATGCTCTGATGAACGGACCGGGGCCAGCTTACTACACTACCTTGTTATGAAACATGGTTAGTTGGCTGGCTGGTTGGCTGGCTGATTTAAAAACATTTTCAGAATTAAGTTTTACATTAATTAAGTTTTACATTAATTAAGTTGTTTAGTCGGAAAACAGATTTGAACCAGAAAACATTTAAACGGTCAATATAGCAATCAATCTTTCAACTAACCAACCGACAAACCAATCAACCAACTGACCAACCAACTGACCAATCGACCAACCAACCAACTGACCAATCGACCAACCAACCAACTGACCAATCGACTAACTAACCAACTGACCAATCGACCAACCAACCAACTGACCAATCGACCAACCAACCAACTGACCAATCGACCAACCAACCAACTGACCAATCGACCAACCAACCAACTGACCAATCGACCAACCAACAAACCGACTGACGGACCAGCCGACAGACCAACCAATCATTCATCCAACTGACCAACCAGACATTTCGACACTGGTTGAGATGATGGAATGCCTGCTGAAGCACGGAGCGAACGTTAACGCTGTTGACATCATGGGACAAACCCCCCTACATAAACTCGTTAAAAATGATAGAGGTGGTTATGATGATGATTGCAATGATGATTGCGATGATGATGATGATGGTTAATTTAGTGGTGATGATGATGATGGGAGCGATTTTAGTGGTGATGATAATGATGGTGGTGAAAGCGTTCCTGGTTTATTAAGTAATTAATTAGTATGATTTAGTAGATATTCATTTAATTAAGATTTATTCTATCATATCATATCATCGTCTTCATCATTACCCGACATCATAATCATCATCATACTAATCATAATCATCACAGCAACCACAATCATCATCATCACTGCCACCAGACAACCGAGCGGTAATAAAAGCGGTTCGACTCCTCCTGACTTCCGGAGCCTCGACGAAAATCAGGGATATGCACGGTCACACTGCTCTGCACATTTGCGTAGCGCACAACAGAGGAAACGTTAATTCCTCCATCGAACTGGAAATGATGTTGCTGAACCACGGGGACGAAAATGATGAGTTGCTTAAAATGTTGGACCTTCAAGGGAGGACGGCTTTACATTACGCTTTTATAGGATTACCGTTAGTTTAGTTGGTGTTAGTGCGGTTATCACCAACACACACATACATACTCACATAAATATATGTATATATGTACACACACACACAAGCACACACAAGCACACACATACACAAGCATGCACACAACAGATCCGATCACAAGGACCATTTAAAATCATGCATTGACCCGATTGAACTGGTCTACTTATTGACCCAGTCCGCGGAATCTGGAGCACAAGGTCAAAGGTTATTTGTGAATGTGAAGGACGTCAAAGGGAATACCGCCCTTCATTATGCTGCTGCCCTGGGAGCCAGCGTTTCCTCCGTTCATCTCGTTAAGGTTGGTTTTGTGGTGACGAAGATGATGATGATGACGACGACGATAGAAATTGTGATGATGATGGTGATGATGACGTCATCAATAACTCTACACGTGACCAGAAAGGAGCCGATATAAATAGCCTGAACAATGATGGTAATACCCCGCTGGCATTGTCCGTCTTGAAACAAACTGAGGGGTTACTCGATCAATTTTTGTTTTTTTTTAATTTTTCGTTTATTTCTTTATTCACTCATTTATTATTTCACTCGTTCTATTTTCATTAAATAAATCAATCAATTGTTCGTTCATTCATTCATTCATTCATTGAATAATTGATTCACCCCTTCTCCATTCATTCATTTATTCATCCATTCAGTCATTCATCCATTCAATCATTCAACCATCGAATCCCATTGTCATCATCATCATCGTCACCAGATCCCTCATCATCCTCTTGCAACAAAACCCCGACATCAGCAAGGACATATACCCGGAAGGTCACCACAGAAAACGAACCAACAACAACAACAACAACAACAACAGTGCTGATAGTGATCCCAACAACAACAACGACGACGATGAGAACAACGACGACGATGAGTATAAGATTAAAAGTGATGAAGATTTTTATAAGAACGTGCGTGATGTTAATGATGAGGAGAGGAAGAAACAGAAAATGATTAGAGATAAAAAGAGAAAGTCGAAAAAACCCAAACTGCATTGGCTTCCTGGGAAATTTCAGAAAAGTGAAAGCAGGGATGTGCGGGGTTGCCCCATTATACAGGTTTGTTTGGTTAATTGCTTGGCTGATTCATTAGTTGTTTGATTGACTGATTGGTTAGTTCATTTGTTAGCTGATTGATCAAATGTTTGTAGGTTTGTTGGATTGATTGTTTCTGAAATCGTGTCTATATTAGTAAATTATTAAAAATGCCCATTAGTTATTTATATATTCATTCATTCGTTCATTTTCATTTATTTATTCATTCGTTTACTCATTCATTCGATTACTCATTCATTCATTCATTCATTCACTCACTCACACACGTAGCACGTAATAAGCAAAGAATACCAAGGAGCGACATTTATGATGTTGGAGATGAGGTACTCGTACAATATGAAGCTCAGTCAATTTATAGTGGTTGGTTTGGTTTGTATGTTTGTCTCTCTCTCTCTCTCTCTCTCTCTCTCTCTCTCTCTCTCTCTCTCTCTCTCTCTCTCTCTCTCTCTCTCTCTCTCTCTCTCTCTTAGGCAAATAAACACATTTCAACACACACACACCACAAACTCACATCCAAACATACATACGCGCACACTTACGTCCAACAAACACATACAGATACACGCATACATATACACACGCACACACATACAAACACATACACACGCACGCACACAGGCGGCATTCCGAGCCAAAAAGTTCCACCTAGCCTTATCATTAATCAACAAAGCAAAATCATCAGAAGACCTACTTGTTGTTCCTCAACAAACAACAACTACAACAACTACTGCAGCTGGTGGCATTCTAATTAATGGTAGTAGTAGTGGTAGCGGTAGTAGTAGCAGTGGCGGTGGTGGTTGTAGTAGCGTCGATGACGTCATCGATGGAAGTGGAAATTTGGCCCACGTGTTAGCTGATAGTTGTCGAGACGGTAATGATAACGGGGTTGAGGAGGTTTGTTTGTTTCTTGTTGTCGTTGTTGTTGTTGTTGTTGTTTTTGTCGTTGTCGTTAGTAGCACACACAAATATACACGCGTTACACAAAAATACACACACGTTACACACATACACAATATGCCGCCATAGGTAGCGAAACTATTGAAAGCCAAAGGAATTAACTTCAATGAGATTGATTGTTATGGGTGTACAGCGTTACATTATGCCTGTCTACATAGATGTCTACCCCTTGTGAAGTTTTTGATTGGTTGGTTGGTTGGCTGGCTATCTGATTGGTTGGCTGGCTGCTGACTGGCTAAATGAATGAATGAATCAATCAATCAATCAATTAATCCGTCAATCAACAAACCCACAATCATATCACCAACAATAATCAAATTCCTTAGGGGTTATATCCGCGGCGAATGTCTTGAAGTCTGATAATGCTGGTAGAAATTGTATGGCCGCCCTCTTCTGGAATGACCTCTCGAAAAATGACGCCCATTTGGTGTTGGTTTGGTAGATAGTTGTTGTTTTGGTCGTTGTTGTTGTTGATGTTGTTGGTGTTGTTGTTGAGGTTGTTGGTGTTGTTGTTGATGCTGTTGTAGTTGTTGTTAGAGTTGTTGGAGCAGTTGTTAGAGTTGATGGAGCAGTTGTTAGAGTTGATGGACTTGTTGTTGTTGCTTGGTTGGGTTCGTTAATATCGTTGTATCAATACTTCCTGTGTTGATCGCTTAGCATATTAATTAATATTAATCCATTAAAGTTAAATAATTAATTCTAATTTATGCTAATTTCTTGCAGCGATATAATGAAAATACTAATAAAGGCGGAACTAACTTTGGATTTCACGTGCAAATTTCCCTTATCTATTTATACATTCAATGGCTACGGTAACGATCTAAAAATAGACAGGCCCAGCTTTTTTGACCAATCACTGATCGCCAAAACAACAACAACGTCATTAGCATCAAAATCACTAATAAAACCCGCGAAAATATCAACAAAACTGATCAATCAAATTCCGCCTACCAAATCAGACCCAGCCAATCAGAGAACGGCTTTGATTAATTTGAATCCATTGTGTTTGGCGTTGATCAGTAATAATTTAGATTTAGCGCGGGAGATTTTAAAAATGGGCGCCAATGTCAATCAACCAATCGATCAGGGTCTGAATGCGTTAATGGTGGCTGTTGCCTTGGTCAGTTGTGTGGTGATTGGCTGGCTGGCTGGCTGGTTTGTTTGTTTTGATTGGTTGGTTGGTTGGTTGGTTTGGTTTGTTTTGACTGGTTGGTTGGTTGGTTATTGCATGTATAGTTGGCTGATTTTGATTGGCTGTTTGGTTGTTGTTTATTGGTTGGCTGATTGTTTGTTGCTCGACTGGTTTTGACTGGTTGACTAATTTTGATTGATTGAAGATTTGATTGGTTGTTGTCTATCATTCATTCCTTTCAGTCATCATTCATGCTTCTCTTGTTCTTTCCAACCAACCAAACAAACGAACAAACAAAACCAAGCAGAACGACATAGAAATGGTCTATCTACTATCCCAAGACCCTCACCAATCGTCACCATCTTACCCTCACACGCTTTATCCACATCTCTTCTTTGACCTCCAACCTCTGGACGGTGATGGTGATGATGCTGCTGGCGGGAGAAAAAATAAAAATGGCGTCTCTAGGAGGATATTCGAATTAGGCAGAGCCAGACTGTCTAATAATAATAATAATAATAATAATAATAATAATGATGACGATGGCGATAGTGGTGATGACGATGATTTAGAAATGGATACTAATATACGTAACGGTGATAATGACGATACGAGAATGGCGGTTGACGGTGATGATAATGATGAAGCGGGAAAAAAGCAAGATGGCGCGAAAAATCTTTCCGGAAATGCGGATAAAAAGCGGGATGTTGTATTTAGAGGTATAGTGATGTGCTGCTTATTGTATAATTTTCGTTTCTTCATCACAGGCTGCCTTACTTAACCGTTTAATAACAATACTTATCATAATCACCTATATTTATAATAATAGTGTTTATAATTATAATAATTATTATTATATATATTATTATTAAATAGGATTTTATAATTATTTCATTATTAATATTTGTTATTTAGAGTTAGACAATAAAAGGATGTTCTCATTATAATTATCAGGATAATTATAATAATTATTATTATTATAATTATCAGGATAATTATGATAATTATTATTATTATAATTATCAGGAATCGACATGACACACGTCCCAATCCCAATAACGTCCAACTTAACACTCTGTCACCGTGATAATATGAACAGAACCGTACTACACTACCTACTTCCATTCAATAATAATAATAATAATAATAATATCAATAATAATAAGTGCGGTCATGTTGGCGCGAAATCGATTTACGATCTTCTCTCTAGAGTTCCGGTTTTCGATAACCACTTCCTGCTTCTTCATTTGGTGTCTTTGGGGGCCAGGATTGTCGATAGGGACGATAATGGAGATAGGATTAGCGATCTAGCCGTCGTTTACGGCTGCCGGAAGTTGTATCAGACGTGCATTTATCTGAGTGGCGGGCGTGATGGCCAAGATGGCGTTGATGATTATTATGACAAGGTTAACCTTATTATTATTATTATTGATTATTATTATTATTATTATTATTATTATTATTGTTGTTATTATTATTGTTATTATTATTATATATTTTTTACAAATTATTTTTCCTACAACCACCAGAGAAAGCAATACCTGGCTGGAAACACTAATATTAATAATAATGTCGGTCTTGATGATGATGACACTGTTAGAGTCGATCCTGATAGTGATGCCAGATTGTTCATTGAAGATTATGAGAAGAAAATGCTGAAGAGGAAAGTAAAGAGCGGCGGTGATGATGATTCTTTGAGATTCATTCCGAAACCCGATGAACATTTGGACAAGTCTAATTGCGGGTTGGTCGGTTGGCTAGTTGATTGTGATTGGTTGGTTGGATGGCTGGCTGGTTGGTTGGTTGGTTGGTTGGTAGTCTGGTTGGTGGTTGGTTGGCTAGTTGATTGTGATTGGTTGGTTGGTAGTCTGGTTGGTGGTTGGTTGGCTAGTTGATTGTGATTGGTTGATTGGTTGGCTGGTTGGTTGATTGGTTGGTTGGTTGGTAGTCTGGTTGGTAGTCTGGTTGGTGGTTGGTTGGTTGGTTGGTTGATTGGTTGGTTGGTTGACTGATTGGTTGTTTAAGACAAATGAATGATTATTCATCTATTTATATAGCAATCCATCTATCCATTCATCCATTTATCTATCATTCATTCATTTATTCATTCGTTCATTCATTCATTCATTCATCTATCCATCCATCTATCAGTGATGTACACCTGGATGAAAACATGAATAACACGCCATTCGATGTTTTGCTGTTCAAGTTCCAGGTGGAGAACGGCAGATGGGGGATGTACAACTTTTATAAGATGCAGGTCGGTCGGTTGGTTGGATGGTTGGTTAGTTGATTGGCTGTCTGTCTGGCTGGCTGACTCTCTGTCTGTCAGGCTGTCTGTCTGTTAGGCTGATAAATAAGTTTTATTGCTGTAGTCATTCCCGCAATTATTTTTTTTTAATTTGCACAATCATCATCGTCATCATCACCATCATCATTACAACCACCACCATCGTCATCATCATCACCAGATAATTCATCAGCGTCAGAAAGATATGTACGTGCTCTTCAATAGGTTAGTTTGATAATGATGACGATGATGATGATGACGACGACGATGGTGATGATGATGATGATGTGAAATGTTTGATTGAGTTTTATTTTAATCTACAATATCGACAACTACTTCTATTACTAATCTCTGCTACTACTACTTAATACCACGACAACTGCTACTACTACTACTGCTGCTGCTGCTGCTGCTACTACTACTACTAATAATAATAATAGTAATGATAATAATAATCAGATGGGGGAGGGTAGGGGACAGAGGGCAGTACCAACAGACCCCATTCCCTTTAAGAGCCGACGCGGAGAAAGAGTTCAAGAAGGTTTTCAGGGCCAAAACAGGAAACGATTGGTCTGAATATAATAAGTAAGACGATTATTGCAATTATTATTGTTATAATTTTTTGCAAAATTAATTTTTTTTTCAATTTTTTCCAGATTCGAACACAAGCCAAAAAAATACCGACTGGTCTCTCTGGAATCGAGACGGGCACCGCTAAGAAAAGAGAACATCCCTATTGATTTGCACTGCAACAAGGTTTCCAAGTTACCGATTCTCGTGTATGATCTGATTAAAGAATTGGTTAGTCGGTTGGTTGGTCAGTTAATTTGCTGGTTAGTGGTCAGTTGATTAGCTGGTTGGTTGATTGGTCAGTCAGTTGGTTAATTTGATTGTGTTGTTGATTTGGTTGTCAGTTAACTCACCTGTTTTATTGATTATTATAATAGACATACGTTCAGGCACCCAACCAGCCAACCATTCACACAATCTTTCATCCAGTCAATCTTTCAATCAATCCATCATTCATTAATTTATTTATTCGATCAATCATTCAGTCAATTATTCATTCATTTATTCAATCAATCAATCAGACGGATGTATCCGGAATGAAGAATCGAATGAACCAGATGGGACTGAACAAGTCGAACGTCGTCCTGGGCAGGTTGAGCAGGAGTGACCTTGAAAAAGCCAAGAACATCTTAAAGGAATTGTTGTTAGTTGAATGAATGAATGAATGAATGAATGAATGAATGAATGAATGAATGAATGAATGAATGAATGAATGAATGATTGAATGAATGAATGAACGAATGCATGAATGATTGAATGAATGAATGAATGAATGAATGACTGAGTGAATGAATGAACGAACGAACAAATGAATGAATGAATGATGTAATTATGAACCTTCCTTCCAAAGAGCGTTGATAGATAGACGAGACAGTACAACAGAAAGAATGAATGTTGAAAGCGAAGAGTATCGGAAAATTTCTGAAAAGGTTTTCATGATGATGATGATGATGATGATGATGATGTCTAACATGATGATGATTATGACGACGATGTTGTAGGAGATGATGACGTCAACGATGAAAAATCAAAAATAATAAATATTTAAATAATATTTTCCTCCACCAGATAGCAGAGCTGTCGAACAATTACTATTACATTCTTCCCAAGCAAGGATTCGAATATGAAAAACTGCCCATTTTGGATAACGCGAATAAAATAAACACTGAATTAGGTTATATCGAGGAACTCGCCGAATTAGAGTTAGCTTCTAGGTTCATGGTCGCATCTATGAGCAGATCTTTGGGTATGTTGATGTTGTTGTTGTTGGTGGTGTTGTGTTTTTGTGGTTCTGTTGTTGTTGTTGTTTGTTGTTGTTTGTTTGTTGTTGTTTGGTGTTGTTTGGCGTTGTTGTTTGGTGTTGTTGTTTGATGTTGTCTTTGTTGTTTGTTCGATAATGATGATGGTGTTGTTCGTATTCGTGACCACCATCATCCGCACCTTGTCATCGTCCCTATCATCATCGTCGGCGTCATCTTCACCATCACCTAACACCCCCACAGAGATAAACACATTCGATTACATCTACAAATGTATGGGCTGCCGTATCGATCCCATCGATGAAGAGAGTATGGAAGGCCAGTATCTACTGAAATATATCTACTCAACTTTTACAGGTTTATATATCTTTGTTTTGTATTTATTCGTATTTGGGGTTTTGTGTGTGTGCGTGTGCGCCCGTGTGTGTGTGTTTGTTTGTTTTGTATATATGCCTTATGTCTGAATGCGAGTTTGAGTGTGTGTGTGTGTGTGTGTGTGTGTGTGTGTGTGTGTGTGTGTGTGTGTTTGTGGCTTGTTATATGATGGTAAAGTTCAGTATTTTAAAAGAATTTTTTTTAATCTTTACTTTAAAAATGATAAATTGTACCGTTTCCTGAAATCGAAACCGAAATTTCAATTGATCCAGGGAAAGTTGAAGCAATTTTTAGACTGCAGAGCCAGCTGGACGTTGGGAAATTCCAATCTGAAAGATCGGAAAATCGGAAGTTATTGTTCCACGGCAGCAGCAGCACGAACCTCATCAGCATCCTAACCAGAGGACTCTTAATAGCGCATAACTTTGCCACAAAATCTGGAAGCATGTTTGGAGAGGTGGGCTTTTCTAGGATTGCTATTTATAGATATCGATGTTATTTTTGTTTTCATGGTTTAATTTTGTTCAATAAGTTTAATTTTTAATTTTGATCAATGCAATAAAACGACCTAATAAATTATAATAATTTATGCAAATATTATGATTTGTGCAGGGCATCTACACGGCCGACATGTTTACGAAGAGCGCCGACTACTGCTATAACTACGCTAGCCACGCAAGCAACGTGAAGTTTATGCTAATTTGCGAGGTATGAGTTGCTTTTATATTATATTATTATGTGGATGTTGTTCTTTGTATGTTGTGTTATTATGTAGATAGTTCTGGTTCTCTATCTTGATGTTGCGATGAATACCGTATCCACATAGGAACAGGGAACTAGCGGATCACTGATGTGATGCTCGCTATCAAACTCGATTATCGTTAAACGAATGTATAGTGGTGACGAATTAAATTGATGACTTACGCGATTTAGTTATTATGTTATTTACGACGATAAAAAATATTGTCTTTTAGCGAATTAAACACAAATTCACCCATTTTAGTTTTACAGTTCTTTTTCCAAAACAAGGTGATATATACGAATAAAATAAATGCTACGAGTAAAATCTATTTGTACGTCTTGAGTCCACATAATAATATTATCATAAACGTAATTAGGGCCCAATTAATATTTATGAGGTCTTTTGGGGCGTGGTTTGTTTGGGTAATAAATTAACTTATAAACATGGAATAACCATAACTTAAAAGGTCGACCTCGGCAAGGTGAAGGTCATTCACTCGACGTATTCCAATAAATATCCGCCCGTGTCTCACGATAGTGTCCTTGGCATTGGGGAAACCGCGCCCAACCCTGTTTATGACGTCACAATGTCCAGCGGTAAGTTGTTGTTGTTGTTTTTGTTGTTCGGTTTTGTTTCTTATTTATATTTATTTATTTGTGGTTCAGTCGTTCAATACTAACCGTCGTCCAATCTTTACAATGTAAAGTTTACATAAATATATAATGATAAAATCATTAATGAAATATATTATTACAACATTAGGAGCAGTGATGCCCGTTGGCGACCTAATTAACATAAAGGAAAAGTGGAAAAACCCAGACGGAGATTTCAGCTTCCATAACATTGTGAATAGAAATGAGTACATAGTTTACGATGCTAATAGGGTGGCCCTCAAGTACCTTATTCAGTTTGTGCAGTAGCAGCAGCAGTAGTAGAAGCAGCATCAGCGGTAGAAAGTAAAAGAACTAGTAGTAGTGGTAGCTAGTAGTAGTGGTAGTAGTAGTAGTAGTATTAGTAGTAGTAGTAGTAGTAGTAGTAACAACAATAATTGTTTTTGTAACGATGATAATAATCTTTTTGTCTTGAAAAATGAACTCTTTGATTTCGTTGTTTCTATGAATGTATATTTATTGACTCCGTGGATTTATTTTTCTCTGCCATTGTCACATGTATTTCTTTTATTTATTATAAATATTGTTATTATTTATTATTGTTATTGTATTATCTTTAAAAATATTAAAGATAGTTGATAAAAAGGCATCGTGTTTCTATGCAAAAATATTGATTTTTGTCAAATAACATTGCAGATACAATTATATATATAGATTCATTATATATATTATGATAATAATAATAATAGTTATTATTGTTGTTATTGTTGTTTTATGTTATTAAACACTCACTTTCATCACTTCATGTCACTGGAAGGTTGGTTCATTTATCTTCATATGTGGTTTTTAAAATTCGTTTTTTTCTCAAATTTTTTTAACTGGGAAATAAATTTTTTATTTTTCACTATTGTCTTTTTACTCATTTGTCCATTCATTCAGTTATTCATTCATTCAATTATTCATTCACTCGGTTATTCATTCAATCAGTTATTCATTCATTCATCTATCAAACCATTCAGCGAACCATGAATTTATTTACTAATTCATTTACCCATTAGTTCATCCACTTATTCATTCATCTATTCATTCATTTAATCATTTATCCATGCATTCATCAATTCAATCAATCATTCACTTTTCATCAAAATGTTTATCATCGCTTGTGTTCCGAATTGTGATTGGTTAATAATAATCGATCAATTATGTTATCAGTTTTAATTTTTTCAAGCCACATAAGTTTTTTTTTGTTTAGTTTAGTTTAGGAGCAACTGAAAAAGACTCGCGCACACACAAACACACACACATATATATATATATATAGATATTTATATGTATGTATGTAGAAATGCATAAAATTTAGTAAAACGTTCTTAAATGTGTTGTGCTTATGTCAACAATCTAAGTTAAAACCATTAAAAGATGATTTTTGAATAGGGTAATAGCCCCGTCGAGATTATCATCGTCGTCGTCACCATCATCTTAATTATTTATTATCTACCTAATCATCATCGTCGTCATCTCAATCATCATTATAACAATCACCATCATCTACCTACTCGTCATCATTCCTATCTTCATCATCGTTATAACTATTTATCGGTCGCAAGAAAAGATGTTGAATTAATGTGTGTGTGTATGTATATATATATATATATATATATTTGTGTGTGCGTGCGTGTGTGAGCGTGTAATCTAAATAGCGGTCGCACCTACTTAATATTCGTAATTCATAATTCAGTTCAAAAATCATCCTCCTAAAGGCTGTTGAGTGGATTATAAATCAACAAATAATTTCATCTATCTATTTATTTGTCATTTATTCTAGGCGGTATTAATATGTTAATGAAAATCTGGGTGTAATTTATACTACACACAAACATACAGACATACATACACACACACACACATACAAACGTACACGCAAACATGTATACATAGTCGCCACATATAAATTATAGATACATAGATTTATTCGTACATGCATATGCATGCATACGTACATACACACACATACGTACATATACATACATACATCCACATATACACGTATATAAAAAAGTTCTTGAGTCTTAAAATATAGGAACTATCCTACTAAAGCATTGAAAAATATGCCGATAAGTTTTTGCGTTTCAGTTTTTTTTTGTTTAAACGGACGATACTTTTTTAAATAATTATTATTGCGAATTTTAAAAAACAAAAAAAGCCAACATTAAACTTGGCTAGCTAGCGTTTAGACTTCTTGCATACAAGAAGAAACGTGGTGATACCGATATTATTAAAAAGCAGTAGTTTTTCACAGTTTTAGTGACGTTTGAACGATATTACCTTGGGTAGAAAAAAAACTGTGAAGAGTGAAATAAATAAAGAGCACTTAGTTGCATTGCATCGCACGGGCTGCATGGCTCCACTGAATTGTGGTAAGTACTTCTTCCTGAAAAACAGGCATAACAAGTTGTACCTAGAGAACACATTTTCGCCAAATGGAAAAAACGAATTTGCCAACGATCCTACCAAATCTCCAGTGTCTCTTTGGAAAAAAATATCATCCGACGAAAATTTTGAGAGCCAACTTTGGTTTCAGGATCCGCTAACTGAGACAGTTCGACATAAGATGACCAACAAATGCATCAGTATCACAGGTATGTGTGCGACGAGATTTCAAACTATTAAATTATGTCATAATTCAGAGCATTATTATAGCCCAATGTATATTTCAAAAGATTCAATGTTTTACTTCACAGTTGATAACAGGATATGTTTAGAGGTATTCAAAACGAACGTCAGAAATGATGAACATGGTGAACCCGAAACGTCTGCGAGAAACAACGCTACAAATGTTCAAAAGTGGTACTACAACAAAGAAAGGCAAGTCATTGAAAGCTGCACAAATCCGAGCAAGGTCCTTGATGTTGTTCACCATTCAAAGGATGAAGGCGCTGAACTCTGCGTGGCCGACTTCAATGGAAGAAGAAGTCAGATCTGGCGACTAAAATCAGCGTTAGAACATTTTATTTTCTCCATTGAAAAAAAATTCAAAATATTAAAAAAAACAATTTTTTCAAAACAGTGAGATAAACTATTTCTACGTGAAGAGCGTTTCCGAAAGAAAGGTACTGGATGTACTCGGAGGCCGTACGAAGGCAGGCAGTATGGTCGGATTGTACGCACAAAAGACTACAGCTTCAGTCAAAACCCAACTCTTTTTCGAAGATTATGAAAGAAACATCAGGTCAAAGATGAACAAAAGATTAGTTCTTAATGTATCTGGTGAGTTGACGTTAAACTTTAAACCGTCAAATAACTTGTCGTTCGTCTGATTGATGAAACTTGCTGATTGTTTTATACAAAATAAACCGTAGATAATTGATGAAAAACTCTATATTGAAATTGATGACTGACATAAACCTCTTCTTCAGAGTTAATACTTTTTATCGGAATTTAATAAATTAAATGAGGTAAAATAATTTTAAATATAGATACCGGCACAACGTTAGCAAAACCAAATCCAAACTCTGACAACCAGTATTGGTTGATTAGCGGGAACAAGATCGTGAAAGCCGGCGATAGCGACATCGTCATGACGGCCATCAAGCTGACGCATCCAGCCTTCCAGGACGGTCGCCTAGACGAACATCGTGCGATCTCTTCACGATACGAAGGTAGCGAGAGTCAACATTGGGTCATAATTTATTATCAACCGCCGACCAACATCCTAATATAATCAGACTGAAGACTTTTAAATACTTTTATTATTAAATTTACATAAAATCGAGAAAACAGATCATTTATTAAATCAGGTCAGTTATTTAAACTAAGATCAGAAGAACCGTGAGCAAATCTGCAATGATGAGCATTTGAAAGAGGGCAACCATCAGGGTGATGTTCGTAATAAAAACATATTTTCGTCTTTCGAGTCTGATCTCTTTGAATTTTTAGGACATTTGTTGTCGAGTTTTTATTTTGCCGCCATTTTATATATTCAGCAAACTCTGCAGACGACCAATCTCTCAACTTAACAAATCCTTCTCGAACTGTGTTGGGAGATTTTATTTATTTTACTTATATCTGACATTTGCAATATTTTTGATTACATTTATTTATATTGTGTTTAATTTAGGTATGTAACAAACAAAAATTGAAATGATTTGAAATGTTTTATCGTTGATAACGAACTTGCAAAAACGTCTGGGCAGTTCTTAAGAACAGTTTGAAGACCACCGCATTCCGATTTTAGAACATTCAACTCATCTTTGCTGAACTGCTCACTTAATTTCGACAAACTCAAAGTTCCTGCGAATAAAATGGGACAAAATAAATTATTTAGAGCCTACAATTTTTAATTTTAATGACGAACGAGCGAATGACAATCACCTCCTCTATTCCACTTTTTGGATTCCGTCCCATCAGTAGCTCCACGATCACACATCATATAATCTTTCTGTTTTTGATTTCGCATCAACACATTTACTATAAAGTTAACTGACGACTCATTTACGAAAATATTTTGCGGCGAGATTGTGACAGTAAAAGGCGCATGCAACGGCCGGGTTCGATGCAGCATGTGTGTGTTATGTTGACTCACTGACACTCACTTTGTGTGTAGCGTTTGTGTGAATGTGTGTGTGTTCCTTCTGAGATGTAATAAAAAGAGAATTGTAACATTAAAATTTAAACACCACACGCAACGCACGTAATTGTTCGTCTTCAGCAATTCATTCAGAGTAGTCATCCAGATACGTTCAATCAATTTACGATCGATCGCTGCGGCATTTTTGACTTTTTCGACGGAATCGCGCGGTTTGAAATCTGCGTCCGTGCTACTGTTGTTGGACGCTCTTTTCCTGGACGTGATGTAACTTTCCATCTTCATCAATCTTTCCTGGTTACTCATCTTCCTGGTAACACCGTCGTGTTCGGCGAGTCCTATGAAGCAGGTCTGTATTATGTATATGTTAATATGGTTTTGGGAGACTTTGAAAAAGATATATATATAAATTTTTCGTTACTTAAGTAATTTAGTAGTAGCATTAGGCAGTAGAAGGTTCACCACTAATCTTAAGTGTGTGCGTGCGTGCGTGTGCGTGCGTGTGTGTGTGTATATGTTAATATGGTCTTGGGAGACTTTGAAAAAAATATATATATAAATTTTTCGTTACTTAAATTAAACCGATACAAATGTAGTAATGTAGTAGTAGCAGTAGAAGGTTCACCACTTATCTTAAGTGTGTGTGAGTGTGTGCGTGCGTGTTTGTGTGTGTGTGTGCGTGCGTAATGATGCTAACTCTTCTAGTTGATGGAATTCTCAAGATATCTTTTAGTACATCGAAACCGCAGATTTCGCCAACTTCATGAATGAAATTCAAGTAGTCTTCATATTTCCCAGGCCTATATGTGTTTGTGTGTGTGTGCGTGTGTGTGTGTGTGGTGTCGTCTATCTACTAACGACGATGGCGATGATGAGGACGAGGACTTAGATTTGAAACTTTGGGAGAACTTTCCAGTGAAATCCCACGGACAGCACGGGATTAGGAAATACTGGCACTTTTTATTTTTTGATCTGAAATAGCAAAAAAAAATAATTTTTTTAAAATCGGCTAAAAATGTTTATAAAAATGATGAATCGTATGAAATCGTATTCATTTAGATTATAAATACAATTTTTTTAGGTTTAATTTCCAGCAAAAAACCTGGCGGCCATGACAGGAATCCAAGGAGTCAACTCGTCACTGTGATTGCCAATCAGCCATCTGGCATCTTCAAACAGGTTACTATCTGTTGGCACAACCGTCTGAACCTTCATCATAATTATGAAACTACATTAAAATGACTATATTATTATCCTACCTACAACTTCCTCTCTTAATTATATCTCAGAAATGTTAACACACACAAACACACACGCACGCACGCACACACACACTGACACACACACATAAATTGTATTTTATTAAAGGAGAAATGGAGAAGACATTGCATTCGAATATGGTAATCACTGCAACAGAAGAGCTAAGCACAACCTCGGCCGCTTCACTACCCCACCATGCAAAATTATTATATAAAATAAATAATAAATAACTAAAACTATTTTAATATTATAAAGAATTACCAAAAAGTTAATATTATTACTGAAAAATACTCATAGCAAAATAGTAATTACGAATAATAATCACCCGTAAATCAGCATTTGGCTTTAAATGAGTCCAAATCTTTCTGCTCCTTATATCAACCCCGTAACCTCTGTACTTATGGAGGTAGGAGTCATAAAAATATCTATTAAATATCTATCTACGTACGTACGTATGTATGTATGTACGTACGTACATACGTACGTAGAGACAGAAAAAAGAGTAGAAAAAAAGATTAAATTAGAAAGAGAGAGAGAGAGAAAGAGAGAGGAGAAAGCACGATGTGTAGAATAACAGAGAAGAGATATAAAAGCAATAAGATGCAGAGAAAAAGAAATAGAAAAAAGGAAGAAAGAGTGAAAGAGAGAGAGAGAGAGAGAGAGAGAGAGAGAGAGAGAGAGAAAGAGAGAGAGAGAGAGAAAGGAAGAAATGGAAATTGAGAAATCCAACCCCTTCCGAATTGAGAATATAAACCAATAAACCATTCCCACAGCCAACATCCACAAAACATTGACGCCCATCCACTCCATCTTTCGCCTTCTTATCGTACTTCTCCCAAACTAACTGCAATTAAAAGGAGTGCCATCAAATTTCAACACACATTCAACGTGATTAGTGATCGAAATATTTCATTAATATCTGGTATGGTGGGTATAAGGGTTAACTGCTAAGTAATTGAACATTTCAAGCATCATTCATTGATGAAATTATGCCACAAAAAAGTGAGAAAAGGGAGATATATATGAGAGAAAGTAAGAAAACGATGAGTGAGTGAGGGAGGGAGAGAGAGAGAGAGAGAGAGAGAGAGAGAGAGAGAGAATCTAACCAGTAAATATGCAGCAATACCAATGTCTTCAAATATGAATTTCAGTGGATCTGTGTTCTCAGTCCATATCTAATTTTAATAATTATTATTAATATTACTTTTTGTTGTAATAATAAATCATTTTTAACATCATCCTCATCATCATTTTATTAGAAGTTGACGAGCAAACACACACACACACACCAACATCAACACACACACACACGTATAAAATCAAACTTTAAAACAAAAAAAAAAAACCTCACATCTATCAAACTTTTTGCGTACTTTTCCTTAAGCTCATTATACTTCCTATTGTAATCAGCTACATTAATAACGTCAG